GAATCAACATTGGTGTTGAATGAATTAGTGGAAATACTTGATGAACTTACCTCTTGGAATTAAGCACTGCGGTGCCGCCTAGAATAAATCGAATCCCGGCATTGGTGGCATTTTGTAGAGCAACAGAGCGTGATTCCTCGTATGTTGTTCCACCAACCATGAAAATAACCACCTCTTGAGGCCTGTTTTAACCAGCAATTATGCAGGTTCTGATTTGTTAATGCAAGTTTTAAGCAAGCATTTGATGTAAGTGTCAAATGCAAGAATTTGAGAATAAAACCAGTGGCACATACCGTCCTTGTTGAAAATGATCTCCAACAAATGGGTAGTCCACATCTCGTAATCTCCCTCTGGTTATGCTTTCCATAGTTTGAAACAAAAGAGGCTGATGTTGTGTGTAGACATTCTCAACACCCTGTATTTTCAGTTACATGACATGTATGAGCATGCCATATATTTATTATATAGAGAGAGATATAAAATGTTCCTGGAGAGGTATAATCTCAGATACAGACCTTAAGTCCACGAGCCATATTGCGTGCTATATTCAAAAGATCTCTGTTTCCAAATAGATCACCAGTACGCTTCTCCACACCGGCTTGTTTCAAGAGAAATTGAACTAGCTGCAGTTGTGTGACATGCATAAAGTTATGATACGGAAAAAAATGCAACCAAAGTATGGACCAAACTAGAAAACAGGTAAGCAAGTATAGTAGTAGCAGAACCACAGATCATTATTTCACGTTAAAACGAGATGCAAAAGAATATATTCGAAGTTACAAAAAAGAGATACAAATTCAACTGAAAGGAATCAGGTGTTAAGTTTGACTGTACCCCTGGTTTGTACTTGGGAGACCGTGAAGCCAATTTGTTGAACAGTTGCATCAACTGAACGGGATTTTCTTTCTCATACCGCAAAGCATAGAGCATTACCAAACGTAGCCGATCGATGTCAGACACACTATCATTATTTAAGAGATCTGTAACTGCCTGCAAATACGGATGAAAAGAGAGTCAGAGCTCCATGATTACAGCAGAGCTCTAAGCAATTATGCATCTCTAGCTATGATGATTTTTATCGATTACAGTTTGCATCTCAACGGATACATTGTACAGGACTCCAGCATCAGATGTGGTAGGTACTGAATGCTAAATTATTCAGAAGATTTGTCTGTATAATTATTTATTATAAATGTAACATCTGATATTTCCATGGGACTGTGAGTAAATGGATTACTTAAATATTCACCCTAGATGTTCACTACCTCATATGCAGCTCCTTGCCCACCATTGCAAGCCAAGTCCTGCTCTGTTTGTGAAACCAACATCAGTTTCCTTGCTTCCACTAGCTTGCTCATTTCAGTAACCAGGGTTACATGCTTTGAGACGTTGCCTTGCATCTTTTTGTACTCAGGGTAGTTGTCAACAAATCTGGCCATGTCCTCTGTAAAACCAACACATTCACAGATTATAACCAGAAACTGAAGTTATAAGCGTCTTTGCAGAGTATAGTTTAAGACTAGCCATATCTGTACCTACTGTCTGGATATTTTGGTTACTCTTTGCCACCTGTTGAAAGTCATCTACCATTCGCTTGATGTTCATTCCAATATCCCCAAAATTTTCGTACATGTTAGATTTGAAGAATGCATCTTGTTCTGATGATAAAACCACCTCCTGCAGGGGAAAAGAGACTTATTAGCTGTAATGTTCTCAACTAATTAAAGACAGGATTGGAGAAGAGTAACAACTTGCTGATCTTTTGGAAGACTTCCGATGGCTCTCAAGTCCACTTTATTATCTTGAAGTCCTATCAGTTCGTGCACCATTGCCTACAGAAAAAATCTCATTTATGAGCAAGTCTTATTCTTACGCAAAACCATGACATCTGGACATCTTATTCCCGAGAGTAGCACAATAATATTTTCTTATTTAAGTAAAGTCAAGTTAACCTGATATGTCCACTGATTCAGCAATGGGGTAACTGGGTCATCTCTTCTGTCAATTACCAGCAACAATGGAGAGCTTTCAGTCCGTCTAAAGTCAAATAGACCGCTTTCTTGCTGATACATCAATTTCTGAAACACAAAAGAGTCTTTCAAATGACTACAGGATACAAGAAAGTTTGAGAATGCTTAATAGCTAAGCAAGCTGTTAGCTAGTTCCATCGCATGCATGCAATATGTAATTAGCGGGAAGAAATAACTTTTGGAGAGCTTGTTCAACAATTTCACTTACAGCTGTTTCCTGTGCAATCCTTTTCGCAGTATCAGAGGTCCTCTGATATCTGATGACAGGTCTTCTTTTCAACGCTAGAAACACTGCCGCAATTCCATCAACAACCCGATCAGCGTAGCGTTGCAAACCAGAGGGATCGACAACTGCTGGGAGCATATATAGGTGATTCGATGCCATATTCAATGTAAAATGATATGGATCACCCGCAACAAAGTCTGCATAATACTCCTGCAACATAAAAACCAAAAAGACTATGCTAAACAAGCCACTACTACGCCAAGTGCACCAAATAACAATACAGGTTTGAATCAGAAAACTTGAGACAAGCTACAGGAGGAAATAGTAAAAACCACCGCTATGTCCTTTTCATCAGAAATCGAGCAACTTCTAAGAGACAGATCAAAATATATACTTAAAACTGAGCCAATAATATGCTACGAAACATTCTTTTAGCATCAGTCTCCTATTCAAACCAAAGCAGGATTATAAAAATCACCTGAACTTGCTGTACAACCTCTTGCTCATCGGAATCGGCCAAATTATGAATCTGAGTATCCTTTAACAGATTGGAGAAAACTGAAAGAATCATTCGAAAAAAGATCAAAATTAATATGTATAAATTTTTCAGTAAACAATGATAAAACTCGAAATAAGCAACAAGATGAGATAAGAACATACATAAATGGTATTCTCCAAATCTAGGATTCCCAATTTGATAACGAAGTTTCTGAATATTCTCTGAAGTTGGGCGGATGAAATAAACAGCTTTCAGATGAGACATCGATTCTTTAGACGCAGAGATTGAATCAATCATCTCCACAAGAAAAACTTCCTTCTGAAGCAGCTCTGACTGTGAATACACAATGCTCACATTGCTAACCTACAAATTTCACAACATAGATGAATCAAATCACGATTCGTAGATACAAATTCGAGAAGATTAGTATCGAATTACGAGATCGGAATTTACCGTTTCGGAATCGAGTATGAGAACTTTCATGCCGGAGATGTCTTGAAGCATCCGATTTATGTAATCACGCACAGACGTAACCAGTACCATCGTTTCACCGGGAAAATTCCTCTACGGTTATCTTTTTCCGAGCAGATCTATGGCGACTGATTTGATTGAGATTACTGTTCACGACGACGATGGCGAATTTGGTTCACAGATCTTCCTTAATCGAGAAAATGAGAAATCCTCGAGACTCAAAACGAAGAAAGGAGTTTTTGCAAAACAACCCCTATGTTATTGGGTTATTCCTTTTTATCTTAGAAGAAACTAATTTTGGGTAATATTAAACCCAATTTTCATACTAAAATCTTTTTGTTTTTGTTTGGAATTGTCGTGAGTTTTAATGGTAGCGTATATTTTCAATAATTTCGTACCAAAAACCCGGTTAAAGACAAAACAATCATTCACAAGGAAAATTTGTAAGATTCAATCTCTTCAATGTGATTCATTAGTAATTGGAATGCTGAATTGGACGGTTCGATTACCATTAGACCGGAGTTAGAGAGCTTTGCGTTGTTTCCTGTAGAGGAAATCTCAGGGAAGTATAAGCATGTATGAATCAATGAAGATGATCTTGTCGTATAATAGCTATAGTTCCTTTCATTGTATGCATTTGGTTGAGCTTTTGGTTTTGGTCGAATCGACAAGCAAACACCATAGAAGCGGATTGGAATCAGCCGGATAGAAGATTCAAACCTTTCAAAGGATTCGAAACCCGAAAGATCAACCAAATGCATACAATGAATGGAACTATAGCAAGTTTCTTCTTTGGCTATTATACAAGAAGATCATCTTCATTGATTCAGACATGCTTATACTTCGAAACATACAAATTCCCTGAGATTTCCGCTACAGGAAACAATGCAAAGCTCTTTAACTCTGGTCTAATGGTAATCGAACCGTCCAATTCATCATTATAGCAAATATCTCTGAAAAGGCTGGAGATGGAAGTGGTGGAGGAGGGATTAAGCTTGCAGGAACATTATGGGACAAAGAACCATTGTCATTAGCTGAGAAAGTCTGTGAATCCTTTAATGGTGAATTAGGTATTTATGCTTTCAAGACTCTACCGAATTCGACCATACAAGTGCGTATCGAGCGGCTCACTAACAAGTTTGGCTCCCCAACAATGGAAGACATTGAAGCATATTCAACTATTTACAGAGCAAAATTGGCTGATCCTGAACAAGCTAAGACCATACCGGACAATATCTCTCTAGAGATTCGTTAGGTAGTTAGTTAGGTAAAGGGAGACCTTTGAGCTAGAAGCAAAGAGAATGGAGGCTCGAAAAGTCTTTTGAGTCACGGCGGTTAGTTCGTTTGCATTCTGAATGTTGAAACACACAATAAAAACCAAAGCTTCTCATTACCTTGTTCATGTACTTTTCGACAACCCCGGGAATGTCACTTTTGGGTTTATAGTTCCCGAAGAAGTTCTCATTCAGGAAATTCACCGGATGAGTCTTGAAGGCATCTTTTTTTGCTTGGCACACCAACCAGCACCGCAACTCCCCAACCCTGAAACAACATTATACTAATTAGGTTCATATATCCACAATGTAATCATGAATGGTTTGGTCCGAGTAGATGTGAAGTGAACATTACGTCATGAACACATTCAAATGCTTGAATCATGGCCTGAACGCTTCCGGTACGCTCCGCACTCCGGTCAACCCCACCGTCTGTCATCTCAGCAATCACCTGTTGAACAGGTTTGTCATGGTCTCTCGGGTTCACAAACTCAAATGTAAGTAACAAGATCAAAGAATAACAAAGTCAAAAGACCAATCATCATTTCGCAAAACAACCAAATGAAACGGTCTTATTTTGCTAATACTCCTCGTTTTGGCCTTGATTGGCAAAACATTTAAATGAGCATCATGCTATTTATCATTGAAACTTGATTGGTAGATAAAACATTAAGCAGAGCGTTTAGTTTCTGCTAATACTCTTCAAATGCTCTTATCCTCAATGCTTCTAAATAGAGCTTGTCCTAAGTTTTGACCTATGATATTATTAAAAAATATAAATTGTTATAATTTATGACTAGTATATATATAATGTATTAGAATACATATAAATAAATACAATGAAATAATTTATTTAATTTTATATCTAATTATTCATAATTTTGCCAATCACTTATACATATTAGTGAGAGCATACAACTCCGGCACATATTAGTGAGAGCATACAACTCCGGCAGGCTATTGCTAATGCTGCTTTATGCTACTCTTGTGTTATAAGCCATATGTACGAATCAAGGCCTTTGTCCCGAGCCGTCAGTTCAGCCAAAACTAATTTATATTGGTTAATGTCGAAAACGTGTGAAGGTCAATAATTACGTAATAATTGTAACGCTTTGCACATCCATGACCAAAAAACCATTTCGTCGTTACAGCTTCATACACACAAAACCATTTTCTTTTGGTTTGTATCGAAAACTGAAAATCTCCTCTAATATGGTCGCTTCCTCAAGTCCCATGGAGTCCAGACATCGACTCTCCATTTCCACGTTAGTCTCTTTTCTCTTCTTCTTCATCATTAGTTTCTCGAGTTTGAGTTAATTTAGCTTTAGACATATGGTTGACTTTGCGGAATCAGATTATCTTTGGTGTTCTTGTTTTGGATCCCGAACGTCAACTTTTAGTTCGAATTGAGAGATTGGTATCGTTGGATAATTGGATTGACATATACGATCACTACTACTTTGTTTTTTATATAGTGAGAAGACGAGCAAACGGAGACTCCAGAGTGAAAAGGGTTTTCATGGTTATAGATATTGGAATCACAAGTTCTCTACTCTAAAACTTGTGTTGATTCTTATAATGACGGTTGCTCTGTTCACGTTTTACCGTTTTTCACCGTTACAAATCGTCGAAAATCAATCCGGTTTTGTGAACAAGCCGATACTAGAATCCGGTGTAGCTACGGATCCTCGCTATCTATCTACAGCTGAGATAAATTGGAACCATATGTCAATTGTTGTTGAGAAGTACTTATTTGGCAGACGCGAGTATCAAGGAATGGGCTTTCTAAATCTTAACGATACCGAGATTGATCGATGGAAGGAGGTAATGAAATCTGACTGTCAACATATACCTTTGCATTTAAACCATGCTGCAAATAACATAACGTGGCAATCTTTATACCCCGAATGGATTGACGAAGAAGAAGAATTTGAAGTTCCCACTTGTCCTTCTCTTCCTTGGATTCAAGTTCCTGGCAAGCCTCGGATTGACCTTGTTGTAACCAAGCTTCCGTGTAACAAATCGGGAAAATGGTCAAGAGACGTGGGTCGGTTGCATTTACAACTCGCTGCAGCTCGAGTGGCTTCTTCTTCTAAAGGGCTTCATGATGTTCATGTGATTTTGATATCTGATTGCTATCCAATCCCGAATCTATTCACCGGTCAAGAACTTGTTACGCGTCAAGGAAACATATGGCTATATAAGCCTAACCACAACCAGTTAAGAGAAAAGCTACTACTTCCTATTGGTTCATGTGAGCTCTCTGTTCCTCTTCAAGCTAAAGGTCAGTAGTACTCAGTAGCAAGTTACTTCCTCTTCTATCTCGGCTTAGTTTAGCTGATTATGATCGTTTTCTAAATCGCAGATAATTTCTACTCATCGAGTGCCAAGAAAGAAGCATACGCTACAATCTTGCACTCTGCTCAAGTTTATGTATGTGGAGCCATCGCAGCTGCACAAAGCATTCGAATGTCGGGGTCTACTCGCGATCTAGTAATACTTGTCGATGATTCGATAAGCAAACACCATAGAAGCGGCTTGGAATCAGCCGGATGGAAGATACACACGTTTGAAAGAATCCGAAACCCGAAAGCTCAACCAAACGCATACAACGAATGGAACTATAGCAAGTTCCGTCTTTGGCAATTAACACAATACAAGAAGATCATCTTCATTGATTCAGACATGCTTATACTTCGAAACATCGATTTCCTCTTCGAATTCCCCGAGATATCCGCAACGGGAAACGACGTAACGCTCTTTAACTCCGGTCTAATGGTAATTGAACCGTCAAATTCAACATTCCAGTTACTAATGGACCACATTGAAGAGATTGAATCTTACAATGGAGGAGATCAAGGTTACCTTAACGAGATATTCACATGGTGGCATCGGATCCCAAAACACATGAATTTCTTGAAGCATTTCTGGGAAGGAGACAAACCTGAGATCAAGAAATTGAAGACAAAGCTATATGATTCTAATCCTCCGATTCTTTATGTTCTTCATTACTTAGGTTATAACAAACCATGGTTATGTTTCAGAGACTATGATTGCAATTGGAATGTAGATAATTACCATGAATTCGCGAGTGACGAAGCTCATAGAACATGGTGGAGAGTGCACGACGCGATGTCTGAGAATTTGCAGAGGTTTTGTCTATTGAGCTCAATACAAAAGGCGCAACTTGAGTGGGATCGGAGACAAGCGGAGAAAGAGAATTACAGAGATGGACATTGGAAGATTAAGATTAAAGACAAAAGACTTCAGATTTGTTTCGAAAGTTTCTGTTTTTGGAAGAGTATGCTTCGTCATTGGGGTGAGACGAAGAACACCACCGGTGTTTCTTCCACCACCACCGCTTCATCGCCGCCGCGTAAAACCGCCGTTAAATTTTCCCTTTGATTGTTTTTTTTGTCTTTAACCGGTTTTTGGTACGTAATTAAACCGACTTAATTGTATTCAAGAAAACCGGAAATGATGAATCGAACCGATAAAATTGATTTTAATTAGTGACGAGAACCAAAGATTTTAGCCGCAAAAATGGTTTCGACGCGAATCCAGAGACCAGTCTCTTCTTCTCTGGGTCGAGTTTCCGTGAGAGAAGATGGATAAGGTTTGTTGTTTCCGACCGAATCAGTTTTGTCGGGGAATTTCGGTTTTTCTTGAATTTGACATAAGCAGTGTTTCCGCCGGCAATCGTTTTCTTTCGCCGGCGAGTCTTCATTTTAGATTTCCGGCGATGCAATTTCGTCGGGCTCTGAAATTTTCCGTCGTGACTCACGCAAAGAAGAATAAGAAGAAAACGAGTATCGTTGAACCGAAACTGAACAAAGCCGAAGAATCACTCTTTGAAGAATTAACCA